TGATGAAGGGAGTTCCAGCCAAAGTATATCTCATAATGGGTCCCACCTTGGGATTATTTTTCCAATTGCCAGGCATATACTTGGGATAAATAGACCCTGACCTGTGAAGAGCCATTATGGGAGGAAGAGCCACATGGAACCTCTCCCCAGCAATGTTAACACATGAACAATCACATGAGGAAATGCAGCCATCAGTGTCACCATCAAAATTTTTAAGGGGACACAAGGGTGATGGGCTTCATCATAATCTTGTTAAAGTTACCATCACACCCCTGAAGAAGAGCAGCTGGATGACAGAGGGTGATGGTACATTACTGTTAGTCTCACTTGTATCTGCCATGCTGGATGTGGTGTCTTTGCTGGGAGCCTCTGGCATTGCAGCTACTGATCTGGAAAATTCGTTTCTTCTCAATTCCCATCAGAAAAGAGGATCAAAAGCAGTTCACATTCCTGTGGGATGGACAGCGGTTCTCATTTACTCTATTGCCCCAAGGTGATGTTAAATCTCCTGCTATATATCACAATATAGTCTAAAAAGGGACTGGCCACTTAGCTCACTTGGTGGAGTGCAGTGTTGATAACAGTGATGTAACTGAGGTCAACGGTTCAGATCTTCTTATGGGCCAGCAACCAAAACAAAGTCTTTCTTCTTCTAAAAGGACCTTGATCATCTTGACATTCTGCAGAACATCATGTTGGTCCACTATATTGTGACAGCATGCTAGGCGGATTTGGCTGTTAGGAAGTGGGAAGTACTCCAGATGCCCTAGTAAGACTTATGTGTCCAGTGTGTGTGATAAACTACATGAAGAATCAGGGGCATGCCACACTGAGGAAATGTTTGGAGGACCAATGAGCTGGGGCATGCCTTGACATTCCTTCTACAGCAAAGAACAATTGGAACTTCCACCACTTAGCACTGAGATAGAGGCATAAGATTTAGTATGTCCCTCTGGATTTTGGAAGCACACATATTGTGCTTGGTATATTCCTCCAACCCATTTATCAGGGCTGCTAATTTCAAGTGGATCCCACAAAAGAAAGATCACAGCAGTTTCAGGCTTCAGCACAAACTGAGTTGCTACTCAAGCTGTGTATGTGGCAATTAAGAATACTGTGTGGTGTGTCTGGCAAGCCCGAGTGGAAGGTTACAGCACAAGCCTGTAGGATCCTGGAGTAAGGCTATGCTTTCTGCAATAGAGAACTACTCAGGCTCCTGGGATGCTACTGGGCCTCAGTAGATACTGAGTATCTGATTATGGGATACCAAGCAACTAAACAAACAGAGATGTCAACTTATGAGTTGGGCATTATCAGATCCATGGAGTCATAAATTCAGATGGGCACAGCAGTGATTCATCCTTACTGGAATTTACATCTACTTAGGATATGGGTTTGGCCTGCTTAGGCCTTTCCCACCTGCAGTGTGTCTTCCAATATAGTCATGCTAAGACAGAAAATACCTGATTAATTGTCACGGTATTTCACATAACATTCCCTCAAGGTCCACTTTTTTGATAAAGAAGGTGGGTCAATGGGCACATGACCACAGGATCCCCTTGTCTTTCCATATACCTCAACATCACAGCAGCCAGCAAAAATAGAACAGTGGAATGGCTCAGCTAAGGCACGGGATGTAAAATGGTAACCTGCAAGGATGGGGTGCTGTCCTCCAGGATTCAGTACACGTGCTTTTAACAATGGCTGATTTATCTCCCCTATCATTAAAATACACAGGTCTGGGAACAAATGGGGGACTGACCCCTCTCACCATAACAATTACTTTTTTTTTTTTTTTTGTCTTTTTTTTTTTTTT